CCTGTCCTCTTCCATCGGAGTTTCCTCGTCTTCCACGGCGTGCTGGTGCAGGTGAGTTTCGTAGAGCTCCTGCTGTGCGAACTTCAGCCCACAGTTCTTACATTCAACACTGAGTTCTTTATCTGCAAAGAGCAACAGGAGAAATTCTAAGTACAAAAAATATTGACATGGATTAAATGTTTAGTGTAAGTATGAAGAAGTAGAATAAACCTGTTATGATTCTATAAATTATTTTAGACAAATGATCGTTCTGTTTTTCATCATCTAAAAGTTTCTCTTAAATTCAGGAGGACAGCTCAGTCACAAAGTTACCATCTGATGTAAAGCAACCAACTGATCAGTCTGTGGAAAGCTTGCACAATTTTTAACATTACTCTTTAAACTGCTAAAATTTTAACAAACAACAATAAAAAATACAACAAAACAAAAAAAGCACAGGTTGGACTCCACTTAAGTATTTCAGGAGAAGAAAGTAGGTGTTTTTTGTTATGTTTTTCTATCATTTTTGAGGACCTATTTTAATATCCCACTATCCAGTAAAGTCATCTGAGCTAGGTTCTTTACATGTTTAAATATTTGATACCACAGCTCTATAAATATAAACCCTCAGGAAGGAGTGTAGCTCAAATTAACATTCAGCGATAGATGCTTGAAGTACTTAAAATTGTTGGATGTCCAGCCTCTGACAGCAGATCTGGAATCCTGTAGAAACCAGATTTTAATTTACAGCTTCTGACACACAAAAGTTCCTGTTAAATTTAAGATCATGTTTTTGCTCATTTTCCCATTTTATAAGAATTTAAACTGAATCATGCAGCAAGTAGATTTTTCTGCACAGAAAGAACAGATGTGTGCTGAATGCCGTTACAACACAAAAACACAAGTTCCTGATTCCACCTCTGGACACAGATATGTATTTAAGGAGAACAACATCAAAATCCTGAGAATTACATATTTTGTGACTGGAAACACTTTTGAATAACATTTGTTTTATTAACACTGAAGACAAACAATTGAGGTAAGTGAATGTGTTGCACTCACTTAGTTTGATATGTATTATGTTCTTGCAAAAGAAATAAACACTGTGGTGGAGTAGTTATGGTTTCTGTTTAGTTTAATAGCCGAATGATTCAGCATCACTGGTGAGATGATTCTTGATTAAGAATTCTATCGTAGCAATAATTTAATATAAATGTGAAAATGCAATTTATCAAACTGCCTCAAAAGTTACAGTGCTTACATTTATTACATCACTTGTCATAAAAACAAGAAAACTCCAAAACTTTAGAGATTAGGAAAATAAACTGGGGTCTGCAGTTTTACACCCAGATTTCAGCTGCACACTAGATTTCTTTAAGAACTCGGAAATTAATCATTCAAACACTAAAAAGAACTCATCTATTCACAAATACAAGTAAATGACTGTAATTTGCCATCTTAACCAAATAATAACATACTTTATATTTTTTCTCAGCTCTTTTGTAAAGCAGTCAATTTTAAAATACATGGAATAGAGCAATAATTATATTATAGCATTAAAAATATAATTTTGATAAAAGAGCTTGCACATTACAGACAAATAAAATACGATTTGGTAATTACCAAAACTTAATCTACAGCAGCTGTGGCATAAACCTTACACTGGGTTGTGGTCTAATAAATTTCGTAAGCATGCTATCTCACCTTGTAAATAAAAAGCACCACGTGAAATTTAGACTCTTAATCTTAAATCAGGAAATCTTAGAATGTATTATAGACTCTGGCTGCCAAATTTAAGCATGGATATAAAGAATTTATATTGAGGAAAATCAGAGCGATCATCATGACAAACTTTGGATGTAATATTAAAAGGAACTTGTTATTTACAAACAAGTTCATTTAGATTTGGTGCAATAGTGTCATAGCTGGATGAAAATGTGTTTTTTTTCACCTGAAATTGACTCTTTTAAAGAATATTTTGAGCCTTTTGTATGAAAAATTGTACATAAAATCTCAGTTCCCTGCCTGTAAAACAACAGCATTTCAGATCTATCAGTAAAACAAATATTTTAGGGACTTCGAGCAAATTTCTTTCAAAGAAAACTAAGGCCAGTAGAGACCTGGAATTTTGCTTACTTCCGGTTAATAAGTATAACTCCCCTCTTTGAATTATTTTTCAGGCAAACTTGAGATGGTCAGATGGTGTGAAGAACTGGCATGTCATCACCTAAGATCAGAATCCGAGCACTCTTATTACCACTTATCTATGTGTGTGCATGTTCGCATGCTATGACTCACTCTCTTCCACCTCTCTTCTGGTTTGCGATCGTACATCTTCTGATTCAGACCCATCAGATAGTTTGGAAACCTTTGAGTGA